TTTCAAAAAAATAATGATAAAATGTTTCAAATACATGCTTTAAGATAACATTATAATTTGAATTTTTAAAAAATTCCAAATGTTTCTTATCAAATGGTTGCATATTGCCTTTCAAAATGCCAAATAATGTTTGATGTGTCATCAACAAATTTTTGTCATATAACATGAATCTCGATGTATTTTTTGAATACTAAATCAAGATTCAAATCCAAGATTATCCAGGGCTCCATTTTCAACAAGTTCATATTCAAACTGAGTGTTTTCATAAGATGAACCCGATGATACTAAAATTGGTTTAATATGAATCCAATCAAGTTTAGATCAAGCCATAAAATTACATTTAAAGGTTTCATATTATTAATTAAATAATCAAACAAACTCTAAATTTCATATATTTATATTCAAATCGAGCATATTGACAAGAGTAATCTAATGAGCCTAAGCTCACTTAGTTTGGTTTAATATGAATCCAGTCAAGTTCAGATCAAGCCATAAAATTACATTTAAATGTTTCAGATTATATTAAATAATCAAATAAACTCCAAATTTCATATATTTATATTCAAATCGAGCATATTGACAAGAGTAATCTAATGAGCTTAAGCTCACTTAGTTATGAGGTCATTAAGGCCCTCAAATCAATAAATAACACTTATGATCATAGAAGATCAATGTGGGTCGTATGATCTGGTACTTGGAAAATTTTTCGGCCAAAAGACCGAATTATCTATCCAATAAAGGCTATAAATAGACCTCCCCAAGGAAAGAAATGCAATCAGCAACTACAACCCTTATGGCCACCTGAAGCTATTTATTGTTGGGTTTTCATTTTAAAATAACACTGGAAGGTGGTCGATAGGGGCCGGAGGCATTGATCGACGATTGTTAGTATCTATGAGGCTAAGAGTTATCACCAGGCTTTCAATGTGGTGTTGTTCACTACACCATAATGGATATATGTCGTTACACTATTTGTGATAAATTGTTGCAACATATTCAGGATTAGTTGTTAGCTAGCAGAGTTCACCAACAACAGTGAGTAGGAGCGACCGATGGTGGCCGACAACGGTTTGTGGGCAGGATTAGTTGTTAGCTAGCAGAGTTCACCAACAACAGTGAGTAGGGGCGACCGATGGTGGCCGACAACAGTTTGTGGGCGGTGTTCAATAGCAGTCAACAACCACAAAGGGCAGAAATTATTGTTGGGCTTTCATTTTAAAGGGGGGTGGAGGGGGGGTGGGGTGGAGTCAAATTCCAATGTTATTTTAAAATGAAAACCAGATAATAATCTCTGCCCTTTGTGGTTGCTGATATTTATTGACCACTGCCCACAAATCGTTGTCGGCAGAACTCTGCTAGCTAACAACTAATCCTGAATATGTTGTAACAATTTATTCCAAATATAGTGTAATGACATATCCACATTATGGTGTAGCGAACAACACCACATTGAAAGCCTGGTGATAACTCTTAGCCTCAAAGATACTAACAATCGTCGACCAACGCCTCCGGCCGCTATCGACCACCTTCCAGTGTTATTTTAAAATGAAAGCCCAACAATAATTTCTGCCCTTTGTGGTTGTTGACTGCTATTGAACACCGCCCACAAACTGTTGTCGGCCACCATCGGTCGCCCCTACTCACTGTTGTTGGTGAACTCTGCTAGCTAACAACTAATCATGAATATGTTGTAACAATTTATCCCAAATATAGTGTAACGACATATCCGCATTGTGGTGTAACGAACAACACCAAATTGAAAGTCTGGTGATAACTCTTAGCCTCAGAGATACTAACAATCGTCGACCAACGCCTCCGGCCGCTATCTACCACCACCTGTCAACCATCATATATTGCCGTCGGTCGCCCCTATTCATCGTTGTGGGAAAACTCTGCTAGTTAACAATGTATCTAGAATATGGTGTAGCAGCATATATCAAATATTGTATAATAACATATTACAAATGTGATCTAATAAAGTATCCCAAATGTGGTGTAACAAATAACTTCGTTTTGAAATCATAGATATAACTTTCAGCCTCCATAACTACCAACCACCGCTCGCCTCTTTTCTTCACCCTCTGAGAACATAGATAGCTAACGACATACCCCAAATATAAGGGAATGATATATCTCAAGCAACGTGATGTATCTCGAATATGGTATAACAATGTTTCATAAATATGGTGTAAGGAAACAACATTGTATTGAAGATCACACGATAAATTCTGATAATAACTGCATATAACTACCATATTCAAAATAAGACGACATTTTTTGGACTCTTGAAGTTTTCTTTATACTTTATAAAAATAAATACAGTGCTCATTGTAGAATTATAATCTCATTTTCCCCAAGGAAATAAATGCAATCAGCAACTACAACCCATATGGCCACCTGAAGCTATTTCAGTCACCATCAACGACCTCTATGGCCAACTAACACTATTATAGCCTCCAACTATGGCTTATGTGATCAATAGAAGCTATTGTAGTCACCAATTATGGCCCTCACGGTTGAATGATGCTACTACAACTACCAGTTATGTCCTATGTGACAAACTAAGGCATAAATAAATATCTGCTATTGCACCTTCCAACTATGACTTCTATGATCAACTGATGCAACTACAACAACCAACATGTACCTATGTAACATACTGCTACTGCACTAACAACTATAGTCTATGTGACCAAATACGATCTATGTGGCTAATTTTTACAGTAACTTTCAACTATGGCTTCTGTGGTTAGCTGACACTACTATAATAACCAACTATGACTTGCATTACCAACTGCTGCTTATGTGGCTAATTGTTACTGCAGCTACCAACTACGGTCTATGTGACTGCTATGGCCAATGTGACTAATATCTACTGCAGCTTCTGACTATGGTCTTTGTGTTCAACTAACCCTATTGCATGTACTACTTGTGACTTATGTGGCTAACTACTACTGCAGTTTCCAACTATGGTCTCTATGACCAACTGACGCTAATGTAACTATCAATTATGATATATGTAACCAACTACGATCAACAACTACAACTTCCAACCATGACCTCAATGGTCAGCTAATGCTATTGCAACAACCAACTAAGGACTATGTGACCAAAAACAACCTTAACGGCTTAATGTTACTGCTACTGCCAACTACAACCTATATGGATAAGTGCTATTACAGCTTTTAACTATGGCTTTTGTGGCCAACTAAACCACAACTATCAATTATGACTGAATTGATGCTACTGAAGAGATCAATTATGACCTATGTGGCTAACTGCTACTAAAACTTCCAACTATGGATCACTGTGGCTTACTAACACTTTACAGCTACTAGCTTTTGAATATATGGTTATTTACTACTACAAATTCCTACTACGATCTCTGTGGCAAATTGACGCTCTTTCAATCACTGACTGCAACCTTGATAGTAAATTACTACATTTGAGTAACCAAATAAGACCTTTATAGTTCACTATACTATTAGAACAAAAAAATCACGCTTATTGTAGCCCAATTATAGCTATTATCACTAAATTACTATTGCATGTATTAACTATCAACATTATAATTACATTCTATCTAATTCAGGAAAAAATAGGCCTATGTACTTAATAGCAGATTATTTTTATTAGCCTAAGTTCTATAGTTTTTTCACTTTCTAGAAGGATTTTTACATGTAAAAAAATTTAGTGTCCAGTCTTGTTACTTTTGTATTACCTGTGTATGTGCCAAAATTTCGAGCAACACAACATTAAAAATGAATCTCCCAACACATAAAAATGTATATTCAAATTTAATTAAAATAATTTTTTTTATTAATTGAATTTATTTTAAAACTATGTAATATAAAAAAACTAATAATTTTGTATTAGGTGTATTCCAAAATAACTTTAACGAATACTTTATTATATTTAAAGTTTAGTCAAAAAAATATGTGGATTTAAATTATTATTATTATTATTTTATTTTTTGTTGGAAAATGTATTGCGATCTCATGATAAAAAGTGATACACTCAACTAGTCCACCAGGTAAGTGCATTTAAATTATTTTTTAAATACCACTTTATTGCCCAATTTTTGACCTAATTCTCCTCGGAACCCCATTTTAAATTGGTCTGTTTCAGCAAACCGAGCAAGCAAACCCCAAGCAAATTCGCAGCAAGGTAAAAAACAATGGCCGATCTCTACCGTAACGCCGATCAAGTCAAGTTGTACGCCTCAATCCGGCCGAACTACCCACCCGAGCTCTTCCAATTCGTCGCCTCGAAAGCTCCGAACCGCCATCTCGCCTCGCCGGGGACGCCGGACCGGGGGGGGGCCGGGCCGCCGTATCTCTCTCCTCCCTCTTCGACTCCGTTGTCGCCACCGACTCCAGCCCTGAACAGATCTCCCACGCCCCAACCCATCTCCCCAACGTCCGCTTCGCCGTCACACCCCCATCGCTTCCCCTCGCCGATCTCCACCGTCTCGTCGCCCCACCCGGCTCCGTCGACCTCATAACCGTCGCCACGGCTCTGCACTGGTTCGACATCCCCGCATTCTTCGAGCAGGCGAGATCGGTCCTGCGCCGCCCCGGCGGAGTGTTAGCCGTGTGGTGCTATGACGGGTTCCCGATCGTCGATGGGGGGAGGGTGGACGAAATCTATCGGAATTTGATGCATGCGGTTTGGCCCTACGTGAAGAAGGAGATCCGGGAGATGGTTGCGAGCGGGTATGCAGGGGTGGAGTTTCCTTTCGAGGCAGTGGAGGGGGTGGAGGAAGGGACGGCGCCGGTGAAGGGGTTTGCGGCGGAGTGGGAGATGGGGGTGGAGGGGCTGATTGCTCTGTTGCAGACAGGGACGGGGTATCAGAGGGCGAGAGAGGCGGGGGTGGAGGTGCTGACGGAGGAGGTGGTGGAGGAGTTGAAGCGGGCTTGGGGTGAGGATGGAGAGGAGGTGAAGAAAGTGAAATATCCGATTCGGCTTAGGATTGGAAGGGTGGGATGGAACTAGGCGGCATGGTGGACGGATGTTTCGCTGTGTGGTTTGGCTTCCGGCTCTCGCTTGTTCTTGTGTTTGAGGAATAAATGAGCATCAATACGATCAAATAACGCACCTAATAAAATAATTGCTCCTAATTCGCACCCTCTCTCTCTCTCTCTCTAATTTTTCATTGATTTAGTATGATTTTTAGTGCAGATTTTATTGTGATCTCATGATGATGTTGGGAGAAATATTACATCTGAAATAATTGCTCCTAATTCGCACCCTCTTTAATTAGAAGAAATACGATCGAAGTTTTATTGATAAAAAATAAAAATTCTATTTCGCATGAGTAGCCTTTCATAGTGTTGGATTTATTTTATATATATATTGTTTTCAAAAGGAGGCTTTTTAAAAGAGTTTTGATTTTGAAAGTAAGAATGAACCGATCTCCAATATTTAATTATTTAAATAATCGAACATGATATTAAAGTAATTTGTCATCTCGAAAGATGAAGATATGACTTAGTAATGAGTTTAATTATTCAAACTAAGAAATTTAGTTGTTTGGTCTGCAAAAACGTCAATAGATCTTTCCCCCATCTCATCCAAAAATTATATAGAGTTTAGATTATTAGGGATAATAATTTCCTATAGGTTCAAGTTTCTATAGTTAATTTTATCTTAAACAGTCAAAATCACTTTAAAAAATTATAGATTAAAATTGAAGTCATGTCTTGAAGAATTCAAAGTTTAGTTTCCACGACTGATTATAGGAAAATCAATTGGGAAAGACACAATGTGTAGCAGTTATGTCTGAAACCGAAAGGAATGAAAAGTAGAAGATGTCGAAAATACTGATAAAACCTCAGTCACATCTTAACTATCCTATGATTTGCCTTTACATTTTTAAAGAGAAGTTTTTTAATGTTTCAATCCTACAATTTATTTGAAATTTTAGGACTTCTATTGCACAACATACAATTATGCAAAAGTCTAAAAAAAATATGAGGATTTACATCATATTAGATAAACAATATTGAAATTCAAAAAAAATTAGGACTTATATTGCACGACATAAAATCATGCAAAAGCTTAAAAGGGTGTGAGGATTTACATCATAATAAACGTCCAACCTCAGAATCCTAGAAACTTATGTCAGACTCGTTAATCAACATCATCTGAGATAACGTCGATGGTTTAGTTGAGGTTCATCATTCGCTTCATGTTTCGTCTTATTTGGATATCTCACATGTTGATAGTTGACTATCCATAACACCACCAAACTCTATAAAGAAAATGACTCAAGAAAAGAAGAAAACAATGTCTTGAAAGGCCTAACCTAGGTTCATATTATTTACTTAAAATAGCACTACAAAACATATTTAGGTTAGTGGGTATGTAAAAAGCTTATTATGAAAGAAGAGACTATTGAAAACTAATTAAATTTTATTTTATGCAACACTAGTCAAGATCCTACGGTTATGTTATCCCGGTACTGCTGATGGTTTTGGATTTACTTAGCTAAGAGAGGTAGTTAAACCTGCTCAAACTAGAAGACTTTTGCTATCAATCATGTGTTGCATTGTCTAAGAAGCTCTCATAAATTTGAAGGGTGAAGACTTCAATTTGGAGTTTTATAGGATAAGTCCTTATTTATACTTCAATCACTTCTACCTAGGTTGGAAATATTTTTTAAGGGTTTATCTTCATTTCATTAACAATTTTGTTCAATTATTTGAGTTGCAACACCTCTATATCTTACATTTAGTAAGTGAAAAGGTAATATATTATCATAACTTTTACCCATTTATAACCTTTTGCATATTATATTAATTTGATTGAAGTTCCAACAAACCCATCATGTTTCATTCTTTACAGTAATATATTATCATAACTTTTACCCATTTAGCCCCTAATATAATCCAATTTCAATTAAAAGAAATTTTCAAGTGTTAATATAATATTTATAGATATACCTTTCTAAAGAAAATTTAA